GAACCTGGAAAAAAACTACCACCGAGTTAAGTCTGTATATCTGAATACATATTGTATATGTATATGTATTGACGTCATTAATAGTGAACTTAAAATAATAAGCAATTGAGCAATGAACAATGGTCTTCAAATAAATTCAAAAAAATCTAAATGTTTGGTTATTTCTAAAAAAGAAATAAACGCAACAATGCAAATGCTCAGGGTTGATACTGATGAGATTAAACATGTAAGTCAAGCAAATAATCTTGGAATTGTGTTTCGTGGTCCAACCATATTAATTATATGGTTGGTAAGACTTATTGTCAACTACGGCAAATAACACTGATCCAGAACATTTTACCAACCCATAGTAAAATGGCACTAGCAATGTCAATAATAATTCCATCATTATTATACTGCGTTGAAATATTTGAAAAGTGTGACTCAATAAGTAGGAATAAATTACAACAACATAGCAAGATTTATTTTCAATACTAAGCCACACGATATCTTTTTGAGTTATGCTAAACAAATCTTTGGACTAGACTTTTCCACATTAGTCGAATTTAGGACACCGATTCTTCTCCACAAAATAGTCACGACCAAGGAACCGAATTACTTTACTTTACACAATCAACCAGAACTAATAATATAATACCAACAAGAAACCACTACTCCTCCAGAAAATCACTTCTTTGCACGGGCTGTTAAGCTTTGGAATAATTTACCACTCAGTTTAAAGAATTCAAGAACTGCTATACAGTTTCGGAAGGAATTATTATTAAAGTTAAAAAATAACTAACCCCCAATCACACACAACTAATTATACATTCAACATTACACTAGATAAGACTTGAAAATTGTACGATTAATAACCATTACCTATAAAATAATCAAAACGTATATGTTAAAGTAATTTTTGTAAAACTTTTTGTAAGACTGTGAATCTTTTCTTGTGACTAGTGCTTTATATTTAAGTTGAATTTTTAACTTTAGCGCTAGAAAGATAAATAAATAATATTAATAATAACAAGACGCAATGAATATCTTAAATCTGTGGATTCCCTAACCTTCCGTGTCAGTCTGATGTTATTTTCCCCCTTTTTGCTGATTGCGATATGACAGTTTAAAATATCTGACATAGTCGTCGGCTACTTTCTGTCTCGGTCTTGTTAATCCATAAAATCTATATTTATTATATCTATATACTTAAATATGGCTATATCATAGGCTTACATCACATATGGTAAAAATGTTTCTTTGCATTACAGATCGCAAGTCAACTCCGTTGCTTAGTCGAGCTTATCCACCACGCGAACACTTTTTATCTTAGGGACCCTCTATTAATGAACGATCTCCCCTCTAAATTAGAGCGGAGATTATAGTAACCTGCGTGGTTCTGTGAGCTTTTGCCGGGCTAGCTAAATCCAGGGCCCCGCTACAACGATAAATATAACGTCGACTCACATGAATGGAGGCTCACCATTTAACAATACAGTAAGCTGCACGTTGGCATTAAAATGTAAATTAAAAAACAACCAAAACAACATCACGTAGCACACTCATATGTCAACAATTTGTTGGGTCTCCGCGGTGGACTAAAAGTCTTATTTCTATTGCAGATAGAATATAAGTCGCAACGAGCCAGATCGGAAAACTACACACTGTTGCTCCAATAATAATGATAAACAAAAAATAATTTAAAAAAAAAATACAACTTATACTCTTGGTAATATCATTATTTTAATATTTCAGAATTTCGATTACAACTTAAAAATAAATCGGACGACTGTATCATACAGCTGCCGTAGGATCTATCCGATAATTAAGGGGAAAATAATATTAAAATAATTATAGCTTCGTTATTTTTTATCATATTCTTTTCTACTCCAGTACTTTATTTTTTTAATATTTAAGAATTAATTATTTAAATTAAGAATTCAATTTAATTCGAATCGAACTATTATATCATATAGCTGCCATAGAAAGGAAATAAATGTCAAAATAACACAAAGACCGTTATATTTCGTTTTCGGTAAGCATATACGGTAGTTAATTAAAATTTACCATTATCTTAATATTTCTGTAATTACTTTTTAGTTTTCTAAGAATCTGTACCTACAATGGTCCCATTGGAACGACCTGCATGGGTATAGAAACTAATGAATAATTTAGTAAAGAAGTAAACTAAAAACAAGGAAGAACGCTATAGTCGAGTACATCGACTATCAGGTACCCGTTACTCAAAGGGAAATGGAGATATGCAAGCAGCAAAGCAAAATTAAAATGCGCCACCTACCGGCGGTAGACAGATTTAAGCGTTATGGGCGTTAGAGTGGGCGTGGCAAAATTATTTTTGGATCAATCGATAGGTATTGACGACACCAATACATTTCAGTTAAAATTTTTTATCTAGCATGCAAATTGTGGGCGTCACAGGTTTTCGCGGTTTGTGGGCGTTTAAGTGGGCGTGGCAAACTTTTTTTTAGGTCAATCGATAGGTATTGATGAGAACAATACATTTCAGTTAAAATTTTCTATCTAGCATCAAAACTGTAGGAGTTACAGTTTTGGGCGGTTTGTGGGCGTTAGAGTGGGCGTGGCAGTCTACTGAAACAAACTTGCGCTGCGTAAGAAGCTCAGGAATCTGTACGCCAAATCTCAATAGCCTAGCTCTCATAGTTTCCGAGATCTCAGCGTTCATCCGGACGGACAGACAGACGGACAGACGGTCAGACGGACAGACGGTCAGACGGACAGACGGACAGACGGACATGGCTAGATCGACTCGGCTAGTGATCCTGATCAAGAATATATATACTTTATGGGGTCGGAAACGCTTCCTTCTGCCTGTTACATACTTTCCGACGAATCTAGTATACCCTTTTACTCTACGAGTAACGGGTATAATAAATAACTTAAAGGGTGGACAACACTTCTAACAAAAATAAAAATACTACAAATTCTTTAAAGTGCATTAAAAACAAGAGAAAACGCAACAGTCGATGGCCTCGAATATTATTTACCTGTTACTCAGCTTAAGGGAGTGCGAGAGGGACGGAGATGTGCTTTTTTCACTAACACACCTAGCCTATAGCGCCACCTAGCCTATACCGTCACCTAGACCGACGTCACCTAGCTCCCCTAGCTGCTTGATTGCACGTTAAAGAAAAAAAATCAGCGACCATCTTGCCAGTTTGCCACTAAGGTCCTAAGTGACATCAGCAATTTCAAGCTCGAGTGGTCAGTAATCACCGTGAGCGGCATCATTTCGATGTAGGGTCTGAACCGTTTAATTGCGTAGCACTCTTCCGTCACGCTATAGTTTCGCTGGCAAGGATTGAGTTTCAGGAAGAAAAATGTTGAGCCCTTACCTTACCGCAAGTTTGTTTCAGCAGCGTGCCACGCCCACTTTAACGCCCACAAGCCGCTTCTACAGTTTTAATGCTAGGGTAAAAATTTTAACTGAAATGAATTGCTCTCATTAATACCAAACGATTGACCCAAAAAAAAGTTTGCCACGCCCACAATTTGCCCACAAACTTCAAAAAATCGTAAATATGAACGCGGATATCTCGAAAACTATCAAATACAGAGAATTGGGACTTCAGATTTAGATTCCGTAGCCTTGTAGGCAGCGGAAGTTTGTTACGGGACTATGCCACGCCCACTCTAACGACCGCAAGCCGCCTAAGCCTGTGGCACCCAATATTTTCATACGAAAAGATTTTAACTGAAATGTATTAGTCTCGTCAATACCTTTCGACTGACCCAAAAAAAAGTTTGCCACGCCCACTCTAACACCCATATAACCATATATTGAGATTAGGGGTAGGTGGCGCATTTTAGTCTCGCTTTGCTGCTTGCATATTTCCAATTCCCGGGTATCTGATAGTCGAGGCTCTCGACTATAGCGTTCTTCCTTGTATTTTTTTAAATAAATAGAGAACGCACCAAATCCAAATCCAAGTATGAGCGAAAAGCAGCTAAAAATATTTACACCTCTAAGAAAAGTTAATTCGTTTAGGATTTATGAACATTAGAAATTGCTACATTCGGGGGCTGCCGCATTAACGTTTATTCAATAATCGACTTAACAAAATGAAATATTTTTTTTGTTATCCCTTTAGATTTGTATTATCAAAATTTTAAATAAAAAATGTTTGTGAAAAATATTTTTTTAATTTTTTAACGTTAATTGCTATTCTTTGAAGTTTTTACAGAAGTATCCCTTCGTTCTGGAGTAGGCTTGGTGTGATATATCAGAAGGCAAAACGCTTTTTTGTTTTTTTTTTGTGCCTAAAACTCTGTGTCGCTGTCGACGTCAGTAGAGAAGTCGGTGCAGCGTAGAAGACTGCCCTCTCTTTCTTTGTCTCATAATCTGCCTGCACTTTGCGCTCGCAGAGACAAATTTCGCTCGGTCTGTTACTCGTTATTTTTTTTTGCGTCCCTCCGTTATGTTCAGTTAGCGACTACCATTTTGGCGGAACAATTTTTGTGAAGCAGCGACATGTAAATGCCCTAATATTTTAGGAGCATTGTTGTACTTAAAAAAAAGACGAATAATATTGTTTTTTAAAAGTACACGTTTTGATCATAGTAAATTTAAGTTAATTGAACTTACGAATAATGTTATGTTTACGTATTATACATTATTATTGCAATATAATTTTTTAGATACGTTATACAAATTTAGTCCTTTAAAATTTATTCAAATATTTAAAACATTTTAGTATTATAATTTTTTTAAAATTCATTTTGTATTTTTTACTTAAGGAGTAAGAATTATATAGTCACATAATTTTCGCTTTAGAAAGGGTATAGGGTGCAGTGGCACGCGCCAACAGAGAAGAGAAAACAAAAGAAATCAAGTAAAGGGCTGAGAAGAAGTCTTGGTGCATTCTGTTTGAGTTAATTATTTATTCAAAATGATAGTAAAGTTTACAAAACTAATACTAACATAGGGGTGTAGTGCTAGCTACGAGACCTTCGGCTACGTATTTATTAACTTAATTTAACAATTTTTTTTTTTTACTTAATTTAACAATTTTTTTTTTACGACATGTAACAAGTGAAATTACGAGTGCCTTTAACAAATTTTCATTACAATTTTCACTTGTGAAAAATCGAACATCCCATACAATTGTCTATATGGAGTGTTAATTGTTTTTCACGCGTGCAAGCTGACATGTCACGTGTTATTCACAAGGTTGTTCACGAGTGAAACTTTACCTTCGAAACTGAAGGGTTTGAGTTGATGAGTTTTCATTTATGAAATCACCTGCTAGTGACACGTCCCACGTAAAATCACTTGTGAAACTCAGAATATTTCTAATGAGTTTTCAATAATGAAAATATAGAATTTAAAATACATAAATTTATATTTACTTTTTACTTCATTTTAATTAAATTGTGTTATTTAGGTTTTCTGTTGAAGAACAATTATTGTTTGTAAGCCTAGTTTTCTGTTTCGTTAGTTTGTATTTTACATAGGCTTCCTTAAACATTTGTCCAGGTCCTCCAATTTCTCGGTCAACGCTCCTGAAAAAATGAAAGGGCATTTGTTTAAAAAATGCGTTTTACTTGTGTAACCCTTTTCGGGATCTTAAGGACTTCTTCCCGTTGGACCCGTCCAAATTATATTCAATAATAATATTTCCTGCCATTAACAGTTTAAACCGCTTTTACAGCCGTTCGTTTCCTATTATTTTTGTTATTTTCTTTGTATGCTAATAGAAATAAAAATAAACATAGAAAAGCAAATACAAGTCGTCCTTGCTCGATACTTACCCATAAAATAGTTATAAAATTTACGTACTTTTAAAGTAAGTTTAATGCAAAACATCTTAAACTTAATGTAACACTTATTTGACTTTATTATTTTCACTTTTAGAAACAAAATACATATGTAAATGTGTTTAGCTGCGCACAGTTCAAATGGTTTGCATTTCTCTTTAATTACTAGAGCAAAATGCACCAAGTCTTCTTCTCACCCCTTTCCTTGATTTCTTTTGTTTTTGCTTCGCTGTTGGCTCGTGCCACTGCACCTATACCCTTTCTAAAGCAAAAAAAAGTATGCGACCATATAATTCTTACTCCTTTAGTAAAAAATACATTATGAATTTTTTAAATAAGTTTGTATTAAAATGTTTTAAATATTTAAATAAATTTTATCGGACTAAATTTCTATAAGTAAACTAAAAAATTATAGTGTAATAATATTGTACAATACGTTAACAAAACATTATAAGTAAAGTCAATTAACTAAATTTACTATGATCAAAACATGTACTTAAAAAATTTTTTTTTTTTAATACAATAATGCTCCTAAAATACTAGGGCATTCACATGTTGCTGCTGGACGAAAATTGTTCCGCCAAAATGTTAGTCGCTAGCTTAAAATAACGGAGGGACGCAAAAAAAACAAGGAATAACGCTTTAGTCGAGTACCTCGACTATGAGATACCCGTTACTCAACTAAAGGGACCAAAGGGAAATAGAGACATGAAAGTAGCAAAGCGAGATTGAAATGCGCCACATACCCGCGATATCAATATATGGTTATGTGGACGGTAGACAGATTTAAGCGCTATGGGCGTTAGAGTGTGTGTGGCAAACTTTTGGGTATTGACGAGACTAAAACATTTCAGTTAAAATTTTTTCTAGCATCAAAACTGTCACAGTCACAGTTTTGGGCGGTTTGTGGGCGTTAGAGAGGGCGTGGCACCCTGCGGAATCAAACTTGCGCTGCGCAAGAAGCTCAGGAACCTGCATGCCAAGTCCCATTAGCCTAGTTCTTACAGTTTCCGAGATCTCAGCGTTAATACGGACAGATCGACTCGGCTAGTGATCCTGATCAAGAATATATATACTTTATGGGGTCGGAAACGCTTCCTTCTGCCTGTAACACGACGAATCTAGTATACCCTTTTACTCTACGAGTAACGGGTATAATAACGAACCGACAGTCGGCAGTCTTCTACGCTGCGCCGACTTCTTTGCTGACGTCGACGTCAAGCGTTTAGGCACAAAAAAAAAGCTTTTTGCCTTCTGACATGTCTGATTTTTCGGTTGCTCGAAATTATTTGGCAAGGTGATTCAAGAACAATTTTAAGAGGAATAATTGTTGTTGCGAACAGACTTTCATCCTGTCCATGCACTTAAAAGCCGCTGGGCCGTGTGATTCACAAAAGCTTGTAGCTTAACTTCAGCTCTGTTATTATATTGACACTTATATTTTATATTCTGTAAATTATTATTATTATATTGACACTTACAGTGGCGAAAAAAATAATAGCACCACTTCAATTCATTTTCTTCTGGGTAAAATAAAATTGTTTTCAGTGTTTGTTTTTTTTCAACACACAATTTTTTGTACTCTTTAGTATTCTTTCTAACGAAAAAATGTGTTAGCTTATTTTTCAATCCTGCCTATAAATTTATTTTTAAGAGTTTTATTAAAAAAGCCCAAAAAAGGCGAAAAAATAATAGCACCACTACAACATTTATTAGCAAAAACCCCATATTTTGCCGAATAGCCTTAATACAAAGCACGGGTCAATTAAATTTATCTATAATTTAAATATTTTGAACATAAAAAGTTTGATAATACCATTGAAATGGGACGTGGAAAGCATTGCACTAAGGAAAAGCGTGATATCATCCAAAAATTGATAAAGGATGGAAAATCTTACAGAGAAGTTGGTCGATTGGTCGGATGTTTAAATAAAATGATTAAGAACGCTCTAAAATATAAAGAAAAACCTGAAACACGAGGACGAAACCAATCTATGACCCCCATTCATGTCAATCGATTGATTCGTCAGAGCAAGAAGGATCCTTTCAAATCTGCTACTGAGCTTAAAAAGGAGCTTAAAATAAATGCGACGGTGCTAACTGTGCGTACATATCTCAGGGAACCTAACCTAAAAATCTGCAGCCCAATAAAAGTACCACTTTTAAATGCCAGATCATGCAAATTGGTCACCCGATCATTGGAGGACTATTTTACTGTCAGGTGAGAGCCAGGTGATTATGTTTGGTGGAAAAGGATCCAGATCTTATCAGACGTCCAAAGAACTCGGAATTTAAGCCCCAGTACACCACAAGGACCATAAAGCATGTAGTGTGATGATATGGGCCCGCTTTTCCTATTACGAAGTAGGCCCGATACATTGGATCAAGGCCATCATGGATCAGCACGTATACGTGGATATCATGGATACCATTATGCTAGCATACGCAGAGTATGAAATGCCGCTCGTGTGGGTCTTCCAACAAGATAATGACCGCAAACATACCAGCAAGAAGGCAAACTTCTCGATGATGCGACCGGTTAGACATTTCCGAAAACTTTAATTTCGGATAGATCACATTTTGAGGCCATGGAAATAAGAATATTGAATTTAGCCGAATGACGTTCTTTAAAATCGATACTTGATTTTTAAAAACTATTCCTTTTAACATGGTATTCGGATCTCAGATTGCAAGTTTCAAGTTTTATAGACTTAATACAATTGTCATCTGAAATGTCAGATTTTAATGCAATAAAACTAGCAACTAAAGATATCCGCAGTTACCGCTTTTTTCAAGATAGACATGGCGTGCTGGCCTCGGATTTTAAACACGGAATGACAGAAATTAATAACATTTTCTAGAGAAGAGCTAAAAAGTAGACAATTTTTTTATTTATATATCGAAAATTAACACGATTGTTTGGAATCGGAAGTAAAAGGAGTGAATAAAGGAAAAAAACGATTTTAGATATTGGGCAAACTAAAATCAAATTTTGACGCGAAAAATTGCATCAAAGCTTAAGGCAAAAAAGGAAATACGGTACATTTTTGGTATTTTTAGTAAGGCTCATTAAAATACCTCGTCTCCAAGTTAAGCCTTTAATTAAAACTAAGATTACCGAAAACTAAGGCAAAACCGCTTTGAGTCGGCGATGAGCGAGTTAAATTGACCAACAAATTTATTTTAGAAGGAATGACTATATTTGGGGATGACACTTAGGTTAGGTAGGTATGGTTGGAGATTAGAAACTAATCCCCCCGCTTAGGCCACACTGGGCCCCTTGTTATACCACGTAATCTCTGTACAGATCCTTTTCCCTGGCTCATGGGTTATTGGGTTTCTCGAACCAGTTTGTTCTTTTTAGGAAACATAGGAGCTTGGGAAAGTTTACGCCCTGTATGGTCGCAAAGTTCGGAATTGTGTAGCTTCCTAGGGTTTGAAGACGTTTGAGGTTGTGCGCTGGGCAGAAGCATAGGAGGTGTTCAATGCTTTCCTCTTCGCCTACCTGCTTATAGCTGCGGCAGTAGTCGTGGTTGCTGAGTCCCAGCTTGTGAAGGATCCTGAGGTTAGAATTCTTTTCTAGGGAAGGCCACCAGACGATGTTACCGTAAATAAGAATGGGCCTTACTATTGCAAGTGAACAATTACGGGAGAGAAACCTTACTTCATTCCAATAGCTTTTTTACAAGCGAAGAGTGCTATGTCCGCTTTACGTGTGCGGTCTATGATGTTGTCTATCCAGTTGAGTTTTTTTATCAAGAATGACACCTAAGTACTATTCCTGGTTGCTAAGGGTTAGGCGCGTTTGGTGTAGTTTTGGGAGAGTTCGACTTGGTATCTTATACTTCCTTGTGAATAGAACTAGTTCGGTTCGGGGTAAACTCCCAGTCCACATTTCACTGTCCACCTAGAGAGGGTGGATAGGGCTGTTTCTATCAGACTGCAGAGAGTTTCAGCCACGTCGTCCGCGTAGGCTACCACTTTAGTGCCCGCTTCCTCTAAAAGTGATAGTAGTTTGTTGACAACTATAACCCGTAGACGAGGTAAGAGTACACCCCTTGCGGGGTTCCTCTACTGACAGTCCTGGTCGAGTGTGCTGATCCCATAGTGGAGTACACTACTCTGCTGGTAAGCATGGAGTGTATGAGTCCCACCATAGGCCGCTCAATGCCCAGTTCAGTCAGAGCACCAGTGACGTTGGGGTGACGTTGTTGAAGGTGCCTTTTATGTCTAGAAAAGCTGCCAGAGAGTTTTCCTTGTTGCGGAATCCCCTCTCTATACAAGATACTAGGGAGGGGAGGGCGCTATCTGTTGATCTGCCTTTACGGTACGCATGTTGTGCGTTTGAGAGTAGGCTTGGGTTGGTAGTTAGCCTGATGTGGGTGTCAACTAGCCTTTCCAGGGTCTTCAACAAGAAGGAAGAGAGACTTATTGGGTGAAAGTCATTTGGGGTGATGTGGGAGGGTTTGCCGGCCTTCGGTATAAATATTACTTTAACGTCCAGCCACGTGGATGGAATGTGGTTTAGTGCTAGGCAGCAGTGGAAGATGGCTGTCAGCCAAGGGAGGGATGTGTTGTAATTGGGCCGGGACGGGGGATTTGAAGGGCTTAATAGAGTTAATAGCCCACTTGATGCGGTCAGGGTTTGACATATTGGCTATGGAAATGGGTGTCTAGCAGGAGTTCAAGGGTTTCCTGGCTGTTTTCCGTCCAGGTGTATTCTATGCTAATGCAGAAGTTAGCTT